TCGACCCAGAATCATTGAGTTGAGAGGGCTGGTGAAAAAGAGACTGGTTTCTAATCTGGTTCTGACATTAAGTTTCTCTGTGACTTTGATTTAAATCTGAGATCTCAGTTTCCTTATCTGAATAATCAGAGGATTGGATTATGTACTGTGCATTGTCTAATGCAGTTTTAACTAGGATTGATGTATCCTAACCATCTGGAAGGGTGCCTGGCACATAATAGATGCTCAATAAATAATATATAGAATGAATGAATAGATCATTAAAGTACCTTCATTTAATTTGTTAGATAGGGTACTGTAGACTTGTCAGATACAGAGACTGCAAGGATACTTGTAAAGGAGAAATATTATGGGGATGAAGTTTGAATGAACTAATGATTTATTCTCACTTGCTTAAACATGAAGTGGAGGGGGAGGCTATTGGAATTTTGCTGAGATTAGCTTGGTCATTTTTTGTATTTATGTTCCTATCCTCCCTCTTGACTGTAAATGAATTTACATAACAGAACTGGCTTTGATAATAATAATCATATATATATATATATTTTAAAATTTCCTCACATAGTGTAGTTCCATAATGCTCTCCATATTTGTCTTCTGATACTAGTCAGAAAATTAAAAAAAATTAATTTGAAAATAATTTTAGATTTATAGAATTGTAAAATAGTATATAGGGTACTTATATATAACTTTCACTCAGCTTCTGAAAATGTTAACAAACATATAAATATGATATATTTATCAAATCTAAAAAATTAAATTTGGTACATTGTACGTTAGTACAACGCTAGCTACACTACAGAGTTTAGATTTCACCAGTTTTTCCACTCATATCCTTTTCCTATTGTAAGATTAAATATACATACCACATCACTCTCAGTTATCACGCCTCTTTAGGAATATATGATGTTTCTTAGTCTTTCCTTGTTTTTTGCCACCTTGACACCTTGAAGAGTACTGGGCAAGTATTTTGTAGAATTTGTTCTTTTACAATATTTTCTCATGGCTAGACATGCATTATTAACTTTTTAGGAAAAGTGCCACTTAGATGAAGTGTTTTTCTCATTGTATCTAACTAGGGATACATAACATCAACATAACTTATCACTGGTGATATTAGCCTTCATCACTTGATTAAGGTGATGTTTACCAGATTTCTCCACTGTAAAGATACTATTTTTCCTTTTCCATACTCTTGTTTTTTAGAAGAAAGTCACTAAGTACAGTTTATACTCAAGGGGAGAGAAATTAGTCTCTACCACCTGAGAGAGGAATATCAAAGAATTTGTGGGCCTGAGTTCAAATCACCACATTAATTAATAAGTATTTTGGGGAAGTTATATTTAGGCTATGCAAATATCCTTTTTGTCCTTAAAGTTTAGTCCACTAATTTTAACATTCTTCAATGGAGCTTGGCTGTAGCAAATATTACCGGGGTATTCTAGTGGTGATTTTTCTATCTCCCCCATTTCTTCTGCATTTATTATTTGAAATTCTTCTATAAATAAAATCTGCCCCCAACCCATTCATCATTCATTCATTTGTTCATTCATTTGTTTACATCAGCATAGACTCATAAACATTTATTGGGTTTCAATTCGGTACTATTGTCATTTATATTGTTTCTCAAATTGGTCCAGCTTTAGCTAATTCTTTTGGTTGGATACTGTATATTTTTTAGCACTTCCTAATTTTCTTGCACTACACAATGTTCAGATTCACCGTGTATTCTCTCTTCCCCAGTTTGAATCTGCAGTTTTTCTAGGGATCTTTAGTTATTTTTGTTGAAGAACAGTGTTTAGAATTGTGATGTGGGCACCAGATATGCTCATTGCTACCAGGGTATAGAAGTGTCACTACTTCTAGGCCCTCCCAAGACAACAGAAGCAATTTTAAACTAGGTTAGTGCTTGCGTATGAAAATATTTCTTAGGAGGCTTGGTTTCCACTTCTCATTACTTCTACTACTTTAGGAGTTTGATGTGACTGATTATAGATTCCTCACTTTAAAAAAATCAATTTTTCTACCAGTTAGGTGCTAAAACCATTTTAAAAGCAAATACCAGGAAGGAATAAGATTTCATTACCAATAAAATAGTAATTACTCTCAAAATGATAATTTCACCCTAGATTGCTGTTTCAGACTTTCATGTTTATCTCCCCACCAAATGCTCCTACCTGAAAGTCTGCATGGTGCTTCAAACCCAGTATGTTAAAGGGTGAACTCTTCACATCCCCTCTAGATTGCTCTCTCTCTCTCTCTCTCTTTTTTTTTTTGATCGGTCTCAACTGCAACACCATTCATCCAGCCAGTTAAATTAGATTCTCCATCAGCTCACCTGTACAATCAAGTCCTGATTATTTTACTTCCTAAATATAATATGGAATTTGTTCTTTCAAAATGTTTGCTCGTGATTAGACTTGAGTCATTAATGTTTTAGAAAGAATACCACTGACCATCTTGCTCTAGTTCATAACTTCATTGCCTTCCTTACACTGGGTGAATTGCACCTGTTCTCTAACTGCTCTTTATTAGCCTTATATACTTCAAATCTGTTATTCTCACTGCTCTAGCAAATATCTTGCTATGCTACTTCATTGTTTAAAGCCTCTCAAATGACTTCCCATTGTTTACAGAAATCAATCCAGCTCCTTAAAATATCATACAAAGCATTCTAAACCTCTATCTTCCCACAATCACTATAGGCTTCTGGTTCAGTTATAAGCTATTTCCGTTTTGTAATGGCTCTGTGCTTCTGCTTATCACATCTTCTTAGCAGGAGGAATACCTCCCTGTCTCTTTCTTTAGTACTCATCCCCACCCCTCACCACAACACACACACCTATCTTCCAGGATTCCTTCCCTCTTCCCTGACTTCATTTAGTAAGCTGGTTTAGTAGATTTGCAGTTTCATCAATGGCTTCCTGCACTTATGTCACTATTAGTATTATTGATTGCTTATAACATGGCAAGAAATCTACTAAGTACATTAGCTACTTTATCTTTTTCATCATTCCTAAACTATTAATCTGAATTTCCCATCTGTGTACTACCTATTCTAGTATATTGAGCTCCTGAGAAAATGCATCCCAGCTTACTTTTGTTGTTTCACCAGAGAGAACAGTTTCTGACAGATAGTAAGTCTACAGTATACTTTGTAGCAAATGAATGAGTAGACTCTGGAACAGGTTGGGTTGGGTAGGGAAAAGCTATAGTCTCATTGAATGTCTTTTTTTAAAATTAATTATTCTTAGAAATTGGTAATGCTTGCTGCTAAGATGTGGATGAGAACTAGTAAATAATGGTTACTCCTTAGTAAATATTTACAATATGAAAACATTTCTCCTAAATTTGTCATCTGCATTTTCTCAAGTAACCTTCACAAAACACTACAAATTAGATTTTCTCTCACTTTTGCAAAAGGAAATTAAGGCTGTGGCAGAAACTGTTAGAGGTTCCTCTAGAGTTCACCATACTATTTTGTTCACTCTACCTGAAAAGTGGGAAATGAAGTGACAGGGCCGAGTTCATGCCAATGGGTTATGAATGGAAATAACATGCTTTATTTCTATGCTTGGCCCATAAAACTTCACCACACTTTCTCTTCCATTCTCCTTTCCATTCTCTGACTTAACCCATGGTCACCACTTGTGGAAGATGGTGGAACCACAGATGGAAGGAACTTGAGTCCTGGAATTTCTACTTGGAGAAGAGACAGTTGTCCATGAGGTACATCCGTTGGACTTTAAATGAACATGATTAACTTGTGTTTTAAAAACCTGAGATACTAGTGTTTAGTTGTTAATCTCCTAGCATCATCGTAACTAAGAGGTTGACAGACATTATTAACTTGCCCAAGGTCGCAGATTTCTAACATTTCTATAAAACATGTGCAAGCAATTCAAAGCTGATTTGGTCTGACTTTATAGCTTGTGTTCTCTTAACTTATATGGCACCCCTTAGTATAAATGTTTATTTTTCTGTTTTTCAAAATTTGATTTAGGGCTTGCCAAGTATTTTTCAAATCACTGCTCCCACCTGTAGCTTCTACTAAAAGTTTGCCATTATAAATAACATTTCCACAGACTTGCCTTTGTCACAGGCATCTTTAAGACTATAATAAATGCTGAGGTATTTAGGACACATTTGCAGGATAAGTAGAGTAAGCAACATTTCTAGGTTTTTGATTGTGTTTGGAATCATGGTTGTGTGCTTATGGTAATCATGGTTACTTTATTTTGATTAAAAAATGGAAGGAAAATGGAGCTATTTTTCCTATTTTCCTATTATTCCTTTCCGATTTTTATGTATCACACATATATTTCAGTCAACCAAGTTTGTTTTTTATTTAATGGAAGAGAGAAAGGATATTTTTTTCATTAACTTTTCTCTCTTCTTTTCCTGGATCTTCAATGTAATGTAAAACAAAGATTATGGCTTTATCAATGTAAGAGACTTAAATTATGTGGCCAACTTCCAACACTTTGAAAGTGTTCGTTAAACACTGAGAAAATCTTATTTTCTGTAAAGTAGAAATAATAATATCTTACTCATAGAAGATTAAATAGAATAAACTATTTAATTATAGTTTTTAACATACAGGAGCCAAATCAGTACATGATGTTAGTGTTTATTGTCCTTGTGACTATTGTTGTTGTTATTTTAATTTTTTACTATTTTAGGCGCATTCTCAGCACTTAAAATACCTTAACTTCTCTCAAACTCCAAATTGAGCATCTGATATGTTTTTCTACTTTTCCATTATTCATTTTATTAGTTTCCTGAAAGTTGCATGATCTCATAGATTATAAGTGCTCCATGTATTATCACGTTATGCCCATAGACTGGCATTGCATTGATTCCCAGTTTATTCTTTGCTGTTAAATGTAAAATGAATGTGTATGAACTGCCAGTCTTCCAATACTTGGCCATAAAAGCCTTTGGAGAAAAAAAAAATGCCATCTTTTTTTTTTTTTTTTTTTTTTTTTTTTTCAAGAAAAGCCTTGTTATATACCAAATACCTCTTTTAGTCATTTTCATTTGCATACTTCCTGGGTATGTAAAATTATTTAGCATAATGCTTTTAAAAATCTCTTTATAGACGTTCTTTTATTTTAGTTCATCATTTGCTGAATTCATTTTGGAAAAACAATTTTGGTGTTTTGAGTTGAATAACTGTTGCATTTCAAGCCATTTTGCAAGTCATCACCATAGAAGATTCAGTTGTAATCAGAATTTCTTGAGGAGGGAAATGAGATCACCCCATCATCCTCTTCCTTCATCCTTCTTCTGATCAGAGAAGAGCTAAGACATAGATAATTGAAAATAGTAATTAACCCCAGACCACTTATATTTGGCTGTAAAATTAGTTTCATGATTTTGAGAAACAGCTTTACTTTTTAAATTAGATTATATTCAGAAAATCATTAATATAGCTTTATTCCTTTAGCTTATAACAAATTTTATCAAGGGACTTCAGGCAAGAATTGTGAGAAGAGGCTGGAATGATCCACTGAGAATGCTTTCAATCAACCCTTTTATTCTGTAGTCTTGCAATTAAACACTACATTCTGTACCCACACTAGCATCTTTATGAAGTTGCAGTGTGTTTTCAATAAGCCTTTCTGCAATTAAGGCATAAAACATATCCCAGTATTGTTTCTGCCTTTGGTTTATATTTGGAATAAGATATTAAATGTCCAGAGCAAAACGTATAGCTATCTGCATAAAATGAATGTTTATACTCTGCTTCTCTGAGGTCACTTTCTCTAGCTATCTGCATAAAATGAATGTTTATACTCTGCTTCTCTGAGGGTCACTTTCTCTCTCGCATAAAATGAATGTTTATACTCTGCTTCTCTGAGGTCACTTTCTCTCTCACACCCTATTCCCAAAAGATCATTATATTTCAATATATTGAGATGCCTAGAATTATCAGGGAGAATGTCAGAGTGCTTAATTCGCAAAGATTTCTGTTAACTAATGTAAATGTGATTGTTTTATGTGAATAAATACTTTTCTACTCGTTTGTATTTATATCCTCATGCTTAGGATGAAAGCAGTGAAATCTGGTTACAGGAAATGATGGTTTTTTTTTGTTTATTTTATTTTTTAGCTCAGAAACTCATCAATTGAGATATAGAGACAATTTCCAGCTTTGGAAAATTAAAAGCAAATGAACAAAGTTGACTTAATTTTTTTTTCCTCTGTGGTTTTGAAATATATTCCACTCTCCACCTGTGAATATGCAGTTTCCAACTAAATGAACCAATGGATTAATTTCCAAATTTGAACTTCAGATTATTGGGAGTTGGGTGGGGTGACATAATCTGGAGTGTGAAATATGGAAATGGGGTAACAGAAAATTGAAAATTCAAAAACATATGGACACAAATGAAATTATTGTGCAGTACTGCTTATATGTATCCAATTTTGCTGCTTTAGCTTCTTTTCTGTTTTCATGCAGCTAATTTAGTATTAAAACTATTTAAGGAAAGAACCAAAGAGGAGAAACCATTAGAGAAACAAGAGAAGCCACAGGGATAGTTCACAATTGAGATAATCAGTCCCTAAATAATTGAGAGATGAATATATTTGAAAGATTTATCAATAGCAAGAAAGCCTGAGGTAACTTTAAACCACAACCATTGTCAATGTGAAGAAGTGATCTATTTCAGGTTTTCTCTTTTCTTTTTGTGTCTCCTTTGGCAGCTTTTGTGAATGAATGTCATGGCCTGTCCCCAGCATTACAAAATACAGAGAACCCTAGTTTGTGTTCGAACATGGATATTACAAGTGTATTTCTACTTCTTAAGTGAAGTTTATCATTGATTTTATTAATATGATGGATTTATGTTTTCCTAGGAAATTAGGAGACAGATGGATAAATAGTTATATATAACAGGAATTAATAAATGGGTGAATTCATCATCTTCCAGGATAGAAATGAAACTACAGATCCGCGAGATAAGATATTGAGGGAGAACTTTCGGAAACTAGCAGTTTGGATTACTAAAGGATTCTTGATTGTCAGGGATGAGTATCACATAAACAATAGATGTCCATTGTTACTAACTGCCTTAGGAAGAACAGTATCTGGGGAGCCATTGGTACAACATTTTTCCAGACCTGCTATACATAATAAGAATAAACCTGAGGCTAAATAGCTATGTTTAAAAAATGATTACTGGACTTATTTTATTGCAGTAACCATTTCTCCCTACACTTGAATTTGGAGTGCTCATAAGACTGCAGATTATCTGCAATACCCTGTATCACAATTGAGAATATTTCTGCCACAGAGTATAAAGCATACTAATTTGGTGATGACTATTGATATGGTAAGTTTTTTCTAATTTTACTGAAAAATTTTTAATAAAAATAAAATTATATTAAAGAATTCCTTCCTCCAACAATGTTTGTCTTGTAAATAATTAACTATTTGAAAATCATCATAGGGATAGCTGCCAATTGAGGATAGCTTAAAGTATAAATATGCATCTTTCGATATTTAGTTTCCCTTTGTTTCTCTGGAATACACCCAGAGCATCAAGCTAAGTACCTCATAGCTTGACTTACGAGGTCATTTCCATTTAGCTTTTTGAAAACAGAATGGGGCAAAGTGATATATAATAAAGAAGAATGTCTACTATACTTTTCAGTGACATCAGCTGGTATCCTTTGGCTTTGAAATGTGTACTCTTCACTTTCAGGGTTCATCAATGTAGCTGGAAGGTTAAGTAAATGCATACAAACTAAAAGAAGTATAAGGAAACATAAAATAACATGATCTGATACAAGTCAATGGACTCCAAATGATTAACACTTGGGCCTCAGGAAACCAATATTTAATGGTATCACTTCATAATATTTGAGATTGCATAAAAATGTATGTAGTTACCTTTTAAAGTAATAAAATTAAAATGATTTAAATATTAATCAATATGTGTTAGCTTTCATTATTAATGTGCCTTCCTTTATGCTAGGCATTGGAAATGGAAATTGTTGTAATATACACACCTTGTCTCCAAGAGACTTAGTGCCTGTGAAATCAAAAACTTAGAATAATTTTTATAGGTTGAAAGATAAATGAATGATACAGATAACAATTGTCATTAAAGTTTGGAAGACACTTATAATCAAAGATGATTTTCTGGAGGAATCAGGACTCGATCTAGTACTTGAAAATAAAAACACTTCTTAGGTAAGTAGAAGACTTGAGAAAATTAAGTCAAGACTCCAGAAATAACATAGAAACTGCAGAAAATTAAATCAAGACTCCAGAAATAACATATTAACTACTGGGAGATCAGTTATTACCCTTGTGAGTGTGATGGGTTTGTTACTCTGTATGTCAAAGGTTTTAAACTTGGAATAGGATTCAAATATTTCATAAACTCCGAAAACTTGTTTGTAAATATTTGTATGTATGGGCAACATACATATTTATAAGAAGCACTTCAGATCTATAATCTTTTTTTCAGCTTCCCAAAGAGGTGTAACTTCTCCCAAAGGTTAAAAGTATCTGCACTATATTAAGATTTGTCTCCATTGAAGTTACTTTTTCCATGATAATTTTCTTAAAATTGTCCAAGTTATTAGATGTTTTATACTAAAATAGAATAATTTTAGCAAAGGTAGTCTTCCTAGCCTACCAAACAGTTAACTGAATTTTTAAAAGAAAGAATCATATTTGAGTATCTTCTCTATAACATGCTACTTTAGTGGTACAAAGTGTATGCATTGTAAGACTTTTCATAGCTCTTATTTAAATTTCAGGTTGTGATAAAACTAATAAATATTTATTATATTATTAAGAATGTAATGGTAGGGGCCAGGCGCCGTGGCTTACGCACGTAATCCCAGAAATTTGGGAGACTGAAGGGAGCAGGTCACTTGAGCTCAGTAGTTCAAGACCAGCCTGAGCAACATAGCAAATCTCTGTCTCCACAAAAAATACAAAAATTAGCCAAACATAGTGGCGGGCACCTGTAATCCCAGCTACTCAGGAGGCTGAGGCAGAAGAATTGCTTGGACCCGGGAGGCCGAGATTGCAATAAGCCAAGATTGTGTCACTGCACTTCAGCTTGGACAACAGAACCAGACTCCGTCTCAAAAAAAAAAACAAAAAAACAAACAACAACAAAAAAGATAAAAACAAAAAAAATCTCATCTCTACAAAAAATACAAAAAGTTAGGCAGGTGTGGTGATGCGTGCATGTAGTCCCAGCTACTTGGGAGACTGAAACAGGAGGATGGCTTGAACCCGGGAGGTCGAGGCTGTAGTGAGCAAAGATCATGCCAGTGCTCTCCAGCCTTGGTGACAGAGTGAGTCTCTGTCAAAAAAGAGAAAAAAGAAAAGATTTTAATAGTAGGACTTAAATTTCAGTGGGCAAACATAGATCACAATTCAAAATATTCATTGAGTTTCTTAATTGTCTTTTACAAGTTGTATTTTATTATTAAATATCCAAAATAAAGTCAGAGTTTTTGCACAGACATACTTCTCTTTTAGAGTGTACATGTATACATATGTAGCAAACCTGCACATTGTGCACATGTACCCAAGAATTTAAGTATAATATAAATAAATAAATAAAGTAACCCAAAAGAAAGCACAAATTAAAAAAAAAAAAAGAGTCTTAAGGAATTTTCCAACTATTCTAAACTTCATAGTAATTGTTTTATGGACATGCCTTTAATTTGTTCAGAAGTAATTTGCCTATTACAAAAGATAGTAAGTGTGCAATTTAAAGAATATTTTAAGTTTTGTTTATCCATCTAGTATTCTCTTCATTCTCCATTAAGCTGTTAAGCTAATTATGGGATACAAAAGCACAGATTAATATCTTAATAAAAATTTTATCATTAACTCTAATAATTCAGAAAAATATTTTATCATGTCTGGCATTTGAATACATATTAATCATATATACATATATACTTTCTATTTCAATATATTTATAATATATGTAGATTATATATGATATTCTATAATATTTTATAACTATATAAACTCACATCACAATTAATATATAAATGTATGTTCTTGAAATAGATAAAACTGAAATAGATTTTCAGTCTTCATTTCAGAAAGAAATATTAATTTCAGCATGAAGTTTTATTTTTAGATTTTAGACTGTATTCTTTCTGTATCCACAGTTGTATTTATTGTTATGCAGACGTATGACTTTATATTTTCACAGATAGTTCAATAGAGACGTAATTACTTCAGTGTCCTTTGTTGAATGTTTCTTACATTCTCATGGCTATTTTCTGCCGGAATATATAATCCACAGGAAAAAGGGTTCAAGTTAAAGAGGGATTAAATTCTGGAAAGGACATTTATGTATAAAAATCACACTTTTTTTAAGCATACCCTCTACATTACTGCTAAACTCTTCTAAAACACAAACCTTATCCTCTCATTTCCTTATTTAAACTGTGTTCATGACGTAACATCTTCTGCAGGATGCAATCGTGACCTATTAGCATCATATACAAGACGTTTCTTGATCTGACCTCAGTTTATCCTGGCATCAGTTTTTGCTGGCATATAATGCCAAGGTCTTTTATATCAGCTTCACACAATTACTCAACATTCCTCAAGAGCCATGCCATTTCATCAGGTTGGTCGGACCTCCTGTGAAATTTTACTCATCCCTTCAGGCAGGGTTAATTGGTTCTTCCTCTTTGCTCCTCCTGCGTGTTATGACACTATGATAACTTCTTTAAATTTTGTTTACAAGTCTGTCTGCACCTTTAGACTGAAAAATCTTGGAGGGCAAGGGCTGCCTCATTTACCTGTGCATTTCTTGGAATGACTATATAGTATGGCAAAGAGACTCCATCATGGTTTACACAATAAATTCAGAGCAATAAAGATAGAAATAATATTATAGCTATTATAGTTATACACTTTTTAAGGTTTTATGGTCAAAATTACTACAGAAACTAATAGAGAATGTTAAGCTATGCCCAGAGACTTATACACATTGTTCGATTTATACCACTATTGTGAGACAGCTACCATATTGACAGTGTTTTGAGCTTTAATCTTCCCCATAATCCAACATGTCAAAGGGAAAAAAATGCAACAGTTGGAGAGTTGCTATTTGTTTTTATTAAAATATTTTATTTTACAGCACACCTGTAATTGTTTTCTTATCTGTCTTATTTTATTTTTATTTTTATTTTTTTTGAGTTTCTCATCAAGTTTAATAGAAACAGAGAACTTTGCCTAGGAGTACATGAGCCTACAGGTTAGAACAACATTTTTTTTTTCTTTAGTTTTTAAAATGATCATTAAATTTTGTTAAAAATATGTTTTCTTTTTTTATGTGTTATTCTATTATTATTATTATTA